CAATAACACTCTCACAATTTCCAAAATCTGTTCAAATATGTAAATCACTAAAATAAAAAATCAATTAGTTTTAAAAAATAATATGTTGAAACATAAAATAAATAAAAGGATCGTAAATTAAATACAATTTAAATTTGTAATTCCAAAAAATAAAAACAAGTATAATCGTTTATGGCCTGACTCTCGAGGTCCCCAGCAGAGTCGTCAAGCTATCATAACGTCTCCCCGGGGAATCCGTTAGACTTAAAAATTTAATTTCGGGAAAGGTGATGAAATATGATTTTGAAAAATAATTTAATTTTGGAGTCGCCACCAACCTTTAAATTAGGTAGGTTGGAAACCTTAAACAAAAAACGAACTGTGTTTTACCAAAGATTCGTTTTTAAGAGTTCAAGAGTCGGTTACATGTGGGGAAGGTTTAGCACCCCCACAACGCCCAAATTTTAGTACCTAAACGATTATATATTGTTCAAATATTAGGAATTACAAACTCAAAAATATATTTAATTTATGATCTTGTTATTCATTTGACTTTAAAAAGTGTGAACAATCTTCGGGAAAATACTTCCTTTACAATTAGGAGAATTTCCCATAGATTCCCCTCACAAAAGATATTACTTGCAATTTTCGCAAAGATAAAATAAAATTAAAAAAACAAATTAAAAGTGAAAAGAGTTGAAAATAATCAAAATAAATAACCGTGAAACAAAGAGAATTTATCGAATACATAATAACATTTACACGAAAAATCTTCGTAAAGACACCTTCCCTTATAGTCAGGAGATGTCTTCGTAGATTTCTCGCACAATGAAATTTTCCATTTTTATACATACATACATGAAAGTATAATAATTGATAAAACAAAGTTACAAATTTGGACCAATATACACATTTACAAACATGATAAATTAAAATACAAATAAAATTAGACATGCTTAATAAAATAAGGAACTAAATAGTAATAAACAGAAATTTACAGGACTAAAACAACAAAAACAGAAAATTAAATGACTAAAATAATAAAAATAGAAAGTTAAAGGATTAAAATAGAAAAACAGAAAGTTAAAATGCTAAGCTAAATTGTAAATACAGAAAGTTAAAGGACCACAATAACAAATACAAAAATTTAAAGGACTAAAATAGTAAAAACAAACATTTAAAGGACTCAATCATAAATATACAAAAACCAGAGTTAAAAACGACAATGTCAAACAGTGCATGTATTATAAATAAAAATAACCCATAACTACTATTTAGGACTAAAATAAAATAACCAGAAACCTAAATGACCAAACATTAATTAAGCCAAAAGATAACATTATGAAACAGTGACCAAAATGTAAGTGTAACAGAATTCAAAGCTTAAAGTAAATTATGCAAAAATTCTATTTGATGACTAAAATGAAAAGAATACAAGATCAGCAGTCAAAAAGCTAAACAAATAAACAAATATAATATAAAACAAATATGACTAAAATAAAATATTAGACAGATACAAAGCCCAAAATGAAAAGATAAACTTTCATTATAATGATCATATTACAAACATTACATAATTAGAAGGATCTAAACTGTGATTTATCCCAGAAAATGAAAAAACGCAAGTAATATAACAAAAGGGCAAGGACTAACAAGCAATTTTCCCTTTTTATCAAAACACGCCGATATCTCTCCCCTTGAAACGGTGCCATTTTGGATAGATAATATAAGCCCAAAATCGGGCTTAACTTCACTCATTTCCCTCATTTGCCCATTTACCTCAGAAGTAAAGAGAGAGAGTGTGTGAGAACTCTCTCAAATCTCTCCCCAGAGAAGAGGAAGACGTCGCCGCCAGCAAAGCTCATGGTGGCTGGAGAGGGGAAACCACCCTCAAAACAATCATCTCTTCACACTTAACCCAAAACCTAGCATCCTTAAGTCTAAACCCGCCCCTAACATCTCAGATCTAAAGTATTACCTTTCAAAGCAACAAACATCCAGCAACCTTTGGTGTTCCAGATCTACTTTGAACCTCGGTACGCTTCTCTTTTCCTCTCTCTTTTTATGTTTTTTTTTGTTCGTATATGGTTCGACTCAGTGGTTACCCTCCATTGATTTTCCTTTTTTCTTTTTAAACCCCGAATCATTTTTCCTTAAAACTCCCTTTTTTTCAACCCCCAAATCTCTTGATATTTTCTCTCCTTTTTTTATCTCTCTCCTCCCCCAAATATTTATCTCTCTATTTTTTTCTTTTGAAACCCAAATCCCCTTGTCTACTCTGTCTTCATTTTCTTTTATTTATGCATGTTGATTGACTCACTTGCCTCTGCCCGAGGAGATTCATCGATCTTTCTTGGATTTGTTTTTTATTTTTCATTAGGATTTTTTGATGGATGTTGTCCTTTGACTGATTGAGGTAATGTTGGTGCAGATGGAAGCAGTCGGCTAAACATTCGACGGTGACAGCATCAGAGACTAACGGCATCATACCCTAGGGTTAGGGTTTCAGAAACCCTAGGGGACGGAGTCGAATCCGAGTCGCTGGGTCGATTCGGGTTTTGCTGATGGGTTTGATCTTGGGCTGCTTTAGGTCATCCGGATCGGTTCGGGTCCACGGGTATGGTCTGGATTATTGGGTTGCATGAGTTGTCTAGGTTAGGCCTCGAGTAGGTTGTATTGGGCTTGCTTGTCTGGGCTCCTGGTGGGCTGTTGTAATTTTGGGCTTCAAGGCCTGCACAAAAATGTAATTGTAAATAAAATAATAATAATAATAATAATTTATAATATTTTTGTAGACCCAGATAAAAACGAGTGTCTATACTAATTACTATATAAAATTATTTTAAATTGAAAAATCATCATCTATATGATTTAAAAAATATAAGTCACTTTGATAATGTGATACTTTTTAACTCTTTAAAATTTTTAAATAGGGTGTTATATTTTGTGTTACCCAAAAAGGGTTTCAAATTACATTTGGAAGTTTTTAGTTTAACCGCATTACTTTCGAGAAAAAGAAAGACCAAATAAGTGAAGAGGAAGAACAATAAAGAAGAAGAATAAATTCTGAAAGAATTTTGGGAATAAAAGCAAAAATGAAGAATACTTCCAATTGGTGAAATTTCTTAATAAGAAAGAAGGAATTGTAGATGATGCATAAGAAAGAAAATCGTTGTCAACTTGGGAATCGGCTCATTAGTAAACTAGCTCACTGTGATTGCATTTTCTTTCGGAAGATCAATTACAAGAAGAAGATGAAGAATATTAAGCACTACTTTAATTATTGGGTTTTTAAATTGGGCTGATCAACTTATTAATTGCTTACTGGACTGTTAAGTGTAACTGGATTACGTAGGGATTGGTTATCACTCTTTGTAACTGGGCTATTTAAGTGTGCAATTAAATGGGCTGATTCATTTGGCTGAGAAATAACTTTTCTCAAAGTCCTGGAACCACCAGATACGGGTTACATGGTTCCAACCATCTTGAGTTTGACGTTTATGGCCGGTTATAGCTGAAAACTTGGGCTCTTTTGCCCAAATAAGGATAATGGGTTTTTTATTTAGTCCATTAGATCATCTCGGTTTTTATTTTGGGATCTTCAGCATTTTCTACAATGTTATTGGAACTTGTCACGTAGAGGTGACGAGTTTCAAAAAATAGATTTTATTGAAACTCGTCACCTCGACGTGACGAGTTTCATGTCACTGTAGAAAATATCATAGATCTTAAAATAAATTTTTACTTGCCCTATTAGGCTAAACAAAAAAACTCATATATTTTACTGTGCCAATTTTGCCGAAAACTTGCCATTATTCTTGGGTAAAATTCGCCCAATAGGCTAGGCGATTAAGAAAATTGATCTATTAAATAATCTCTAAAATCAATTTGACTATGTTTGTTATAGTGATTTGGAATTCATCGTATGAGCATGATAAATTCTAATAAAATATATTTTTATTGGAATTTATCACACTAACGTGACAAATTTTATTACAAAAATTATATTTTTTTAGAACTTATCACGTTAATATGATGAGTTTGAATAAAAAATATATTATTTGAACAAACTCGTCGTGTGGGTGTGACGAAGCTCTCATGCACTATAGCATTTACCAGATTCGAAATTAATTTTGTGATGACATAATATGCTACTTTTTTTACCCACATGACCTATTAGACTAATTCTACCACTATTGTTATGCTTCCACCAAATGATGTTGCCACCCGCATTGGCCAATGTTTCAATTAATATTGTATCGTATCATTATATCCATCCAAATCATTATTTAGAATAAAACTAAAAGGTTTGATTCAAAAAAAATTAAAAAAAAATATTTTTTTTGTTCCTTTATTCCTTTTTATAATTCTTTTTATATTTCAAAATTAATATTTTATTTTATTTAAACTTGATATTGATTATTATTTATGTCATATTATATTATTATATAATGAAATAACAATATTTACAAGTTTAAGGGTTAAATTAGAATGAGAATTATAATTTTAGGAATAAATTAAAATATTTAAAAATTTAATGATCAATTTAAAATTAAAATAATAATTTAGATATGTGTGATTTTAACTAAGGGTAAACTATATATAGTCATCCAACTATTCCAGCAGTTATATTTTGGTCACTTAATTATTTTTTTCTAAACCATACCTAATATTAGTATGTTTTTATTCCGTTTTAGTTTCTCAACGTTAAAAAAATAATTATGATGTCGATATGTCACCACAATATATCATCATTAAAAACGTTAAAAAAATTATTACATCAACAATTGTATTTAGTTTTTAACTATAGATAATTAAAACGAAATAAAAATAAAATTTTAAGCATGATTTTAAAAATAATAATAATTAAATAACTAAAAAAAATAATTAGGTGACTAAATCTAAACAGAATGTTTACCCTTCGATTAACTCAAGAAAAAATGTAGTTTACTATTTAACGGAAAGCGTGAAAATAAAAGTTCAACAATCATTTTCAAAGGTAGGTTTAGAAAGAACGAGTTAGCCTTGAACTGTTTCCCAAACACAGCCTTCTCTCTGAACTGGTCTCCCTCCGCCACCCAATCCTGTCGCCGGTAGCTTCCCAGCATAAGCTCAAAACCACTGTTCTCCAACTCCAAGCAACAAACACAATCAAAATCTGATAAGAAAAATACTCCTATTAAAAATTTAAAGAGACTTCTTTTTAATCGCCTTTTATTTCCAATTTCTTTTCCTCTGTTGCTTTCTTAAACCTGAAGGCTTCACCCACCGAAATAATCATTTTCTTAATTCCAGATTTTTCTCCCTTAATTCTTCAGATTTCCTACTTTCAGGTAACCGCGTTTTCGTTTGTTTTAGGAAACTGTGAAATTTTGTTGTTATCTCTTTTTCCTCGATCCGTTGCTTGCTAATAATATTTGATTTGATTATTTCTTTTTAATTAACTCTTTTGTCGTTAAGTTAGATGAGCTGATGTTTCAATTGATGAGAACTTTGTGATGGCTAAATATGCTATTTAATAGAGACGGTTTAGCTTTATATACTTAGCGGGAGGAAATTAATTCGGTTGAATTTTGTTTGGTTGTAGTGAAAATTGGAGGAATAGAAAAGGTGAATTTTTGTTATCTGATAAGTTTTTGGAGTTGAGTATGAATTGAAGGAGGTTTAGTGGAAGAGATGAATGTGAGCCGTGGCTCTGTTCACCCAGTGGAAGAAGATCCACCTGCAACTGACGGAGCTGGAGGAGCTGGAGGCGAAGGAGGCGACAACGAGGTGCCAACAGTGAGGATGAAGGATCTTCAGGGAATGCCTGGTACACTAGGAGGGCTTGTGTTGAGGATATGTCAGTTTGCTTTTGCAGTTGTGGGACTTTGTATTATGGCTACCACTAGCGATTTTCCATCTGTTACTGCCTTTTGGTAATTGCTTCGGTTTTGGTGTTTTTCTGTTCTGCTTAAAAGTTGGCTTGGATTTTGATCAATATTTGAGCATGATGAGGAATCGGGGATCAATATTTGATTCTTTTCATATGATCTTTTTTATTTGCAAACTCTAAATATGGGAATGATGCTCTAAATCGAATGACAGAGCCTTGTTTGTTTACATGTGAATATGATTTTAGAATATAAGAAGGCTGCTTGATTGGTTGCTACATGCATTGCTATTATTCTATCTAATCATTTTGGTTTATCTTTGGTTGAATCTATATTAGTTTTTCAATGTACATCTAATTGAAAGTGTAATGATCGAGTATATTTAATAATTTTAATGAAATGAAGGTTAGTCTTAGGGTGTTAAATGTTAAAAACCCATTTTAAACAACATATCAAAGTTGAACACTTGAGAGCTCTCTAGTTTTTAATTATTAATTTTTGGATAAGAAAGCAAAAGAAACCGATATTATGCATCTTTTAGACTGGACGTGTTTTACATGCTAAGTGAGGTCTTATATCAAACTTTGAAAGAGATGTAAAGAAAATAGAGTTTTGTTGCTAAGAAAATAGAGTTTGAAAATAGAGATGTAAAGTGAAGCAACTAGTTTTGTGTCTATATTCTGCATTTGATGTTATCATATTTCTTTCATAACATGGAATTTTGTATTTGCTACATCAGCTACCTTGTTGCTGCCACTGGCTTGCAGAGTTTGTGGAGCTTATCGCTTGCTATCATTGACATATATGCCCTTTCAGTGAGACGTTCCTTGCAGAATTCCCGTGTTGTTACTTTGTTTACTGTCGGTGATGCGGTAAGATGTTTACTTTCACTGTTACAAATGAAGCTAAATGGTTGGAACACGTGTGCTATGCTATTTTTTTTCTGTTGAACATCATAAAAATCGTTATGTATGGATTTCTCAGAAACTTATCCTAACATGTATTACTGTTAACTTTTTGACATCTGCTATGGCTTCAAGCCTTCAACCATTGGCTTTGACACATTCAGAACTGCTTGGTCTACCTTGTGACACTTTTTGCACAAAAGCTTCATTCTTCCGATTGAAAATTGCAGTTAATAATGACTCATTCGAATATTAATCAACTTTCTTTTTTCAGTGACAAATTTGGTATTTAAAGAGCTGAAATTGTATGAATAGTCTTCAATATGATTTTCCAATCAAAATCATTGGCTTGCCATTGGTTCTGATGTAGGATACCATTGACATTGGTGTTTGTATTGGCCAACGAGTAGTCACAAATAACCGGAGTTAAGTGGATAATGGATTTGCGCTTTTGATAGCACTTTGCTATTGGTTTTACTCGAACCAGAAAAAATGTTCCTATCTTTTACCAGTCTTTGTTTGAAGAAACCTCTGGTTTTCCATGATTTCTTGCACTACTTGTATAGCAATTCCAAGGAAACACGTAGAACTAATTGTGTCAGAAGACTTAACTTTGCAAAGCTTCTGCATATGCAGTGCAAGCTAATTCTGTGGACTGCATTTGATTGGAAAGAACAATCAGTGTTATCATTCACCATGGTTTCCAGACTTGCATTAGTTAAGAGCTCAAGCAGTTTTAGTTTTTTTTCCACTGCCTTGTTTTACCTCTCCATCGTCTTTGCACGACATATGTGTTCACTACATAGCTCCTTGGATTTTGGAAATTTTAGCCGTCTTGATCGTATGTACCTTTTACCTTGCAGATCACATCCACTCTCACATTTGCTGCAGCTTGTGCTTCTGCCGGCATCACCGTTCTTATCGACAACGATCTTGATAGCTGTGCTCAGAACCATTGTGCAGAGTTTGAAACTTCGACTGCAATGGCCTTCATTTGCTGGTTTGCTGCAGTACCTTCGTTTCTGTTGAACTTTTGGTCACTCGCATCCCGGTAAAAGGGGAATGCGAAAAAACCGAAGTTGAAAGGAGTAAAACCATAGCTGCTGTAGAAATCATTTTGTTATGTCAAATACATTTCCCTTGTAGCATTGTGGAACCTATCGATGTGTTGTTTTTTAAAACGTTTGTATAGGCGTTATGAATACCAGTTGCTTCGGGATTGTCTCAGGAAAGGCGGGTTAATATACGCCTAATATGCGGCGTTACCGGATACATTAAAAGATATTTAACAAATTCGGTTTAGCGTTATCGGAAAAGTTGAGTAATAATAATATAGTAAGTTTAAATTATGAAGAAATATTAAAAAATTTGACAACCGGCAAACTTAACTTGTCGGTTGGTGTCAATCCAAATTAAAAATGTATGATCCATATCAATATAATAGGTAAAAATATGACAAAATCGGTCACGAAAAGGCAATACCGGTAAAGTTCTATCGGATATATTAAAAGTATTGATACTTTAAAACACTAAATCGACATTTTGTGAATTTAAAAGAGAAACAGTTTTATCGCATATAAAGTGTCGATACTTTATAAAAATGTATCGATCCACAACAATATAACAGGTAAAAATATGATAAAACCGTATCAAAATGATAAAACCGGTATCAAAATGATAAAACCGGTAAAGCGCTATCGGATATATTGAAATTGTCGATACTTTAATAAGTACGTGTAATAAATTATCGATAATTTCAAAGAAATACGTAATTATCCTTTCGAAAGTATCGACACCTGACATAAAAGTATCGACACTTTGGTAGTTGTGTCGATTAAATATAAATAACATATCCGATGAAAATATAAAGGACATAGCTAAATATCCTCTGAAAATAGATAGAACGGACGAGTTTTTGAAATCGAAGCGTAATTGTTGTTGCATTTCAGAAGGCGTTTCTAAAGCGAAGTTTTGTTTGTTGTTGCTGCAGTCGAATCGAAAAGTATGTTGTCGAAACCCTAGTTTTTTATTATAATAGTACTCGCAAATAGGGTTTTTATGTGTTGTTTGGGGTTTTGGAGTAAAGAAGTGTTTGAGATCGATTACAGGTAAAAAGTGATATTCAAGGTAAAATATAAATGTCGATACTTTTATTAAATATTATAGGTAGAAAATGATATTATAGGTTGTATAAATGCGCCGACACATTTTGTAGTGGCCATTCAAATTCTTTTGAAGAAAACCGTTTTACCACAAGAGTAGTTATCTATATTTGTATATTGAATAAAGTGTATGTAACAAGTATTTGATTTGATTTGCGTAAACTGATATATGAAGGAAAAATGGAGTTAATGGGTGGAAAAATTGTTGGTAGCGCAAATGACTTTGAAATTGAGGCCGAGACTCGAAAGCAACCAAATGGTGGATATATGTACTTCTAGTAAGTATCAATGTCTTTTTGTTATTATTGTTGAAATGATAATTGGATTAAAGTATTTAAGAACTTTAAATTGATTACAAATTTTAAATGTTGACAGTATGGCGAATGCAAAAGGATGAAGGAAGATGGCACACAGAGCGGTTCGGTATGTAAAATGAAATTGACATTGAGTATTATTTAGTGTTAATGTATTGATTAAGAAACGTTTATGCTTAATATTAGGTGACAAAAGATGTGAGGTCCAAATGGAATTCGATGAGTGATGCTGAAAATGAACCTTACATCACATAGTCAAGGAATGATAGTAAAGAATATAAAGAACGGATGAAATCACATGAAAATAAGGTATTCATTAAACTTGTAAATACGTTGATACAAAATATATAAGAACTATAACATTATATATTTGTTAAAAAATGTAGGAAGTGTCTACAAGGTACAACATTAAAATGGTGAATTCATTAATTAAACACCTTAAGGAGAAGAGTCAGTTGAATGTGCTGGGAGAAATAGGTTTTTGGATCGTTGGTAGGAGTAAGGGATCGACCTATTCGGAGGGAATTATATCGATCCTTGATGGCGCAATTTGATGTCAAACAATGTATTGTTAAGTATGGTGATTTTTCATTTCCTCTCGGGATCCCATGTGCTACAGTCGTATTAGGGGTAAAAAATGAAGGCAAAAGTGTTGTAGAAGTCTGTAAGAGTAAGAACTGGAAATCACTTGCCTCCAAATATGGTTTGAAGCAGAAGGTGACATATGCTGAACTTGAAGAGGAAATAAAAAGTGGATCTTACGGGGGGATGAGCTGAAGGCCAGAGTTCTATTATACCTTGTCGGTATCTTTCTTTGACCAACGGGTGATACGTCAACGAACAAGGACTATATGAAGCTCATTTGCGATGAAGGCTTGAAGGGTGAATTCAATTGGGCTGAATATGTCCATTCGAGATTGATTGAATCAATAATCACCTTTAAAAAGGGCAGCCAGAGATACCTCAAAGGGTGCATAGCAATCTTAGAGGTAAATGACTTGAAGAACTTTTTTGTGTTTTTATATAAAATGATAGTATAGTTATTATATAAAATTATAAATTTTATTATAAATACAGGTTGCACTGTTCGATTTTTGGTCAGGCTGTGAAGCAATGCCGGCTTATGAAAGAATCAGAGTGGCACGCATCCGTGCATGGGGGAAGGAGGAGGTGGTTAGAGTGATGGCGAAGTTGAAGTTGGATAGACCGAGGAAGCACGAAAGGGTAATAAATGTAATTAAATAATTTTAA